GGGTAATATATACATATTTATCTGTTATATAGTTACGTTTATTATATCCCCTTTTTAGTGGACTGGGTAAAAAATAAACTAAGACTATTGAGGAACAGCTACACAAAAGCAAAGGCAAAAAAATCTCCCCTTAGTCCGGGATCTGTGAGAAAAAAACCAACAAAGCGAATTGCGTGGCTGTTAGAGAAGCTGCAGTTCCTGGAACCATACGTGGCAACTAGAGGCACAGTGGCTGCCTCGGTAAGTAATTATCTTCCACCCAAACTTTATGAGTCGAACAGCCCAATTCGGACCCCTATGTTAAGAAGTTGCTTTAAAAAAATGAGTCAGAAAGACCGGAATACCACCAGCAGATGCGATGTTAAAGTTGTAACTTTTCTCCCCATATATCACATTTTATTTTTACGTAGTTTAGGAAGTGGAAATACATTCTCTGTTGTTGCCCCCCTGTACGGTTGCATATGCCACTCTCTATCACCAAGTTTTTTTAATTTTAATTTTTTATTTAATTGATTGTCAACCAACAGAGATAAAACCTTCACTAACAGGTTGGTTTATCAAAAAGCTATATCTGTATGCTAAGGAGGGGAGTGCATATCTCATAAAACAATTTACTTTAGTCTGTACACACTTTCTTTACAGGGAACGATCCATCAAAACAGGGAAAAGAAGACAACAGATGGGATGACGTCCCCAATGACGTCACTCGTAGCCAACAAAAAGAAGGAACAAGAAGCAGACGATGTAGACCACTTTTTTAATAGTATGGCAGTTAGTGTAAAAGCCATGCCGCCAAATGTTAGAGCTTTGGTTAAATTTAAGATCCACGAAATTGTTTTTCAGGCAGAAAACGAGCTAATGATGAATACACAAACATGAATTGGATTTTGATTGCTTAGGACAAAAACTAAGTTACTTGTGTATGTGTTAAGTTTAAGTTACAGTAAGACGACTATGATTACGAAATAAAAATTATTTTATAATAATAAAAATATTACGCTATTCTTATATTGCATTCGTTTTTGTGTCGTAGATTAGTGTCCTTGAAGACCATGTGATGATGATGATGAAGATGATGGCGATGATGATGATCTAATGATGATCAGATGGATGATGGATAACAATGACGACGATAACGACGACTTGCCGGAGATTTTAAAGGACCGTGACGACGATGATGAATTAGACTCCATGAGGAAGTGGTTGAGGCATTAGAGTCGATCGTCATGATAAAAATTGCTTCCGTCTTTGTGCCTCTATCTCGAAGATAGAATAGGCCTACAATCGTAGGCTACTTATAAACATCAATATGAATCTTTTGAACATAGGCCTATCTGGTTTTCATCACATAGGCTTAAATATATGGATTTCATCACATAAATATAGGAATTTCTGTTATTATTATTATTATTATTATTATTATTGTATGCAGAATAATGATGATTTCCCATTGAATGTTTTACTAACATTCAATCATTATGTAACATTAGTTAACATTAGAAAGCAATCGTGTAACTTCGGATAGTTCAACTTAAAATAATTACCGTACCGTTAACGTAGGCCTATTAATTACTGAAATGGTTAATCCACTTTGGTATTGAATATGGGAGCTATTTTGTCTATTTTTAAAATTAAAATGATCAACAATATTATTCTTGTATTAAAATGATCAACAATATTATTCTTGTTAAAGTGTTTATTTAATTTCTGTCAATTAATGCTGGGATTCCCTCGAAAGTGATTAAGTTCACAATTGGTTCCCCTGGGCATTAATTTGACATTTTTTATTGTACTGTATTGCTTTGTTTATTATTATTTGTTTGTAAATAAACCGGAATAAATTAATTGAACCGGAATAAATTAAATGAAATGCTCGGATCAATAGACACGCTGTTTATTATTGACTTATGATTTATTGCAACATTTCGGTAGTTTATATATGATACCTACATTATTTCGGTGGCCAGTGTGAAACAAATTTCTGTATCTTGTGTATTAGTAAAATGCATTTTTTTTAAATATAAGTCAATCCTGACTCATACCTATTCGCTAGTATTTTTTTTTTTTCTTAATGAATTTTTTGACATAATGCTTTTTTTTCTGTCCTTTTTTCACTCGTTTATTTAATTTTTGTTCTTGAAAAACGCCACCAACGGGTAGGCTCTATCAACAAACAATCAATATTTACTAGACCATGACCAAAACACGGGAAACACGGACGGCGGTACGTACATGTGACCGGTCAGATGACGGTGTTTGGGTTCCGTTTATTACGCTTTGCCTGTATCTGACTATGATACTCATATGGTTAGAAAACTCATTAATCAGCTACCGGTGCTGACTTTCTATTATGACAGAAAATGTCTACTGCTATGATAGCGTCAATCTCCACTCTTCCACACTCGGAAAATGGATCGAAGCCTAGGCCTGGGCCTAGGCCTCTCCGTAGTAGTGGCCGCAATGTATTGCTCAGGCACTCGATTCTTTCATTCAGAAAGTATTTTCAGCTAGGGCAATGGGAGCTAGCCAGGGCTTGCGCTCAGACTTTTTGGAATGTGGAAGCACAAGATACAAATAGACAGACTCATTCCGGAAAGGTTTCTGATAAAGAAGCTAGTTATGAGCAAGAACACCTAGGCCTAGATGAATTAGTTGACGGAGGCCGATATGCAACTGAGAACGATGATAACAAAGAGGCATTGTTGGTTGAGAAAATCGTATTATGGGCGATAAGAAATCCAGAAAAGTCCAGGTAAAAGTGAATTGTACATGCTGTCTTCGCTTGTGATTGATTAGGTCATCGGCAACAGGTTTTTTTGCCCCTGGCGGTGTCAGTTCAATCGCAGTCATTTTGCCCTCAGTTGCCTTATCCCGTGTTGTTTCACCACTCCAAAGGTCATTTTGGCACTTTTTTGACATTATTGGAAACAAATGTTTAGGCCTAGTTCACTTGGGTGATTCAGCTTCCTCTTTTCACAAATGTTTTTGCATTTTTAACCTTTCATGTGTTTCATTTTTATTTAAAATTATTATTATTAATATTATTATTTCAATTTTGGCTTTTTTTTCACAGCTTTGGTTCACATAGTGTGGTCTCTCCCCAACATTTGGCATGGTTGTGTTTCCAATTGCTACAAGGAAAATGTGGTCACACGCAAGTATGTCGTACTCGCAGATATCAATCGATATATTCATGTAGTATAATGCTGCTTTAGAGGGATGCAAAATTCTAGTTCAGTTAGTTTGGTGCTTGCCTCCCACAAGCCGGAGGCCATCTCTGAATATTCAGTTCTAAATTCTTGCCTATGAGCACGAAGGATTAATAAAAAATAATAATAATTATAATAAGGCACTTATGTTTATTGACCTAAATATGAATAACCTTACCCATTTCTATCTATATCATTCCTTCTCTCAACATCTTCTAATATGTTCTTTTAAAAATGAAATGATGTGGTCAACTGATAATTATTATTATTATTAATTATTTACCATGTTTTCCTTTTTATGAAGTTTTGTGTTCTGTTATACTGTTGTACATCAATTAATATCTTTTTTATTTTAGAAGTCTAACCTTTCTCACTACCTCGAGTTTAGTCTCATGCTACTAATGTGCAAGGAATTCGGTGCTGACACTTCAACCCTAAAGGTAATTCAATCAGTACTGTATCATTCTATCACGTATGAATAAAAATAGGCAAGACAAAATTTACCATTCATGCATTTATTTACCAGATATATATCAAGACTAAATATTCTATGTTTCCGATTTTCAGGAGCTATATCAGTATTTCTGCTCGATTACAATCAGAGCAACATCATCACCAAATAGTCAAACTCTCCAGGAATACCAAAGGATCTCTAGAGATTGTAAAAAACTCCTCCAGGATATTCTCACCCAAGATACAACGCTTGGAAGTACTATGATCAAATATCTTCACACGTCTTTTACACCACCAAGCTTATACGATGCCACCGTCTCTTTAACAATTTCAGAACTTGTAGTTAGTCTGACAAGCAATAAATCTCAGATATCTGTTGATACTTTGTGTGAGAGGGTCTATGATGTAATAGCAAAGACTCTGTGGCCGTTAGACATAGCTTTGGAGAACGTTGGCAACCTCTGCAGAGAACTGTTACATCTGGCAATGGACCGTCACGTTCTGCAGCTACATAATCTTTACTCGTGTATTCTTTGTAAGCAGGAGCCGTTTCTACAGTTATGCAGGAAAGTGACTAATAATTTCCTTATGAACTACCAAAGAAGATCTGTTCCAAGCGACAGACTGGAAGCAGGAGAAGATGTTATAAATGCTTATGCTATGTTGGCCATTAACAGAATGGATCGAAAAGATGCCTGGAAGCAGCTGTTTTTTCAATCATGGAATAATACACAGCATGTGTTGGAAATGATTGTGGTAAACTGTTCACTTTACTTAGCAATCTGACCCAAAGGTCATGGGTTCAAATTTAGCTAAAAACCCAAAAAACACTCCACTCCCAAGCTTTATAGAGATGTGTATTGATTTACAAGTATCAAAATTGAAACACAGTTTGCCCGCCAATGTAGGACCACCATGGGACCTGAAAGTTAGAGGTCTGCAATTAGAGGGTTTAGCTTTGTGTTGATGATTGCTATTTGGTTCTTTGAAAAAGTGGTCTCAAAATAGAGGGGTCTTAGATTGGAGGGTGCACTGTAATGTAATTACTGTATTAGAAAGAATTTTTAATTATTGTCTAATCGATTACAGTATTATTAACAAGACAAAAATAAGGTAATAATCAAACCAATTTTATTAATTTTAATATGTTTAATTTAATAAAAAAAAATTACTGGCAAGGCCTATATTACGTTTTGTTACATTTTATCCTTGTTTTTCATATCACTTAAATGGAACTGTTTCTGTATGCCAATTTTAATACCATGTGAATTTCCCATCAGGAATCCTGTATGTCATTTATTAAAGAAGAAATGTTTGGTGAATTGGTCGAGCTTTTGGCTCCTAGAGAGCTATCAAATCTCAGAGTGTTCATTGTGTTGGTAGGTCTGGGAAAAGTCAAAACTTTATCTGCAGCTAGAAAACTATTCAAGGCAATTGATTTTAAGGTAGATATAACAGTGTGTAATTTTGAATTTCCTATGAGCTGGGGCCTGCATATTTAGTATAGGGTGTTTTTCCACAGAACCTAGCATAATACTGTATATAATTTTTTTTTAATATAGCAAAAGCAAGATAAATAATAAAATTACCTTTTAATGTACTTTAAGTTCTTGTTTTGTATATCAGTTTAGTAGTGAGAACCAGAGAATGAAAAAATGTTTGCTCATTTGCTATCTCCATGTATATTTACACTGTATCGAATGCTTTATTGAAGACTTTTCTTTATTAATGTCTTATATCCAGCAGAGCCACAGCGATTCCCTTCTGGTGGCAGCATGTCAGAGGTTATCATTTTGTATGGAATTAGTCAGATGGAGTCTGGATAAAACAAGGTTGGTAGCAGTAATATGTAACAATATCTTTGTGGTGTTTAGCATTTTAAGAAACTTTCATTAGATGGACAAATGGATGGATGAATTTGCTTGTAAATAAAGACATTGTTATCTATGCAAATGTATGTGTTAATATGGTTATTTTTTCAGGTTATTAAGAAATAATTAAAGACCAGTACTGTGTAATTTAATTTCAGTGCTATGCATGAATTTGAAGATGCAATGGACATTGAGGTTAGAATAGACTGTGACCAGTCAGCTCTATGTGTTCTCCATCGTTGTGGCTCTTTAACTGCCTTAGATCCTGTGGATGTCATTGATATGCTTAGTGGAACCACAACAAAAGGTGAGCTTAAATTGTTATTTTCTTTAAGTGCACACAGAAAAAATGGTTAGATTTGCAAAATATTGATGCGGGAATCTAAAAAAAAAATTTTTTACCGCACCATTTTTTGTAACAGCATCATGGTCTTCAAATATCGGCAAGGCCGCCGTGCGATCAAGTTCAAAACACTTACATAGCTAGACGTATGTAGTACAGTCGTGCTTTTGCAAGATGCTTCATTATAGAGCATCAATGGTCTCACAACATCAGCTCTTCACTCCCTAAGCCTTATAAATATGCTTCATTATAGAGCATCAAGGGTCTCACAACATCAGCTCTTCACTCCCTAACCCTTATAAATATGCTTCAGTACTAGAGTACCAATTGTTCCCATTTATCAGTACCCACTCCCCATGCCTCATCAAAAGACTTGGTTATGGAGCATCAAGAATTCCAAATTATCAGCCCTCCCAAACTCTTGATATATTCCTAGTCATTCCATACATTATTAAAACTTCTTGTCAAATTTGTAATAATTAATTTGTGTTGAATATGAACAATAATAATATTTTTCAGAAGAAGTAAAATCAATGTGGAAGGAGAGAAAACTAAGCGAAGGAGGTGCACAGTCAGTTGAACAGGCAAGAGATGTAGCAGTGTACTTGAGTTTCATTGCAATGCAGGGGTTCATTAATGCTGTGAGTGGAATGGACACTGACCTCATGTCACCACAACACACAGTCAATATTCATAAAGATCTGATGTGTGCAAGAGAAAATCTCAAGAAGATTTACCCTCTGAATTACCGTGTTGAAGTTCTTGAGAATATTTTCTCACTTTTGTTTGTGAGATTTGATCAGCGATTGGATTGTCTTGTGAAATCGGACAGTGAAGGTGATGATTCTTTAGAAGATGCCTGCCCACAGATGCACAGTCAACATTTTGGTTATGCTCGACATGGGCTTAAGACCACTAGTAGCTCCGAGGTAAACAATTCTGAGAAACTAGAATCAGGTTCCAGCAGCAGCATCTCAGGTTTAACACAACGGGCGTCCCCACCTGGGTTCTTAGCATCACCAGATGTTGTTGATCTCTTTCTGAAGGTATTCAAAGAGTGTTTGAATGACCTAGGCATGACAGATACTCAGAAGTTAGATGAATATAATCTTAAGGGAAAAAGACATCTTCACAAACACTTAAAGTGTTCTATATCTGACACAGAATTAAAACAGAGGATTGTGAGGCTTGAAAAATGTACAAATGAAGCTCTGTGGCGATTCCAGTTAGTTTCGGAAAAGGTTAAAGGTCAGGAAAGTTACAGTAGCTACATCGAGGAAGAAGATCTTGGAAGATTGATTAATGAGGATGTACAGGATGATTATGAAAAGTTAGACATGCGCAAGAAACCAAATAACAACAGCAAGCACTCAGGTATGTTACATAATATACAAGAGTTTATGGATTTGATATTTTATGTTTGATATTATTCCCATGATCTCTCCTGGTCGAAACCTCAACAAATTTTTACTACACAGACAGTAAAGTTCTGTATACACAATTACTTGTACTCAATTGTGAAGCTATATACTCTCCTACATGGTGTTATTAAGGAGTTGAGGTGTGATCATATAACCCAGAAACCTGCAGATAATTCACCTTCATACAAAAGCCATGATTATAGAGTTGTGGCAGCAGTGAACACAGCTGCTAATTAAGATATTGTATATATATTTAGATGTTCATTTTGTATCAAATGTTTTCTTGTAGCCATGTCAACTAACAGTTACAGACGAAGGAGGCGGTTGAGCAGTCGCTCAAATTCTACTTCATCTTCAAAACCTAGATGTGAAGGTATTGTTTCGTGTATGCTTTCAACTCAGCAGATGCTTGTTCGGATTTGTATGGTTAAAGGGAGATTTCGCAAAGCAAAGCAGGTAGTGACTTATGCAGATCTCTTAATATTAACTAATTGATCAAAAAAATAAACATTAAAGCCATTTTCACCATTAAATCCATATAGCAAAAAACATCAAACACCAAAAACAACGAAGCTTAAAGGCCATATAACCATTACATCCATCCTAAATAATATTTAAATGTCTTTGTTTTGTGCCTTTAATTAGTTTTCATTCTCCCCCCCCCCTCCCCCATTAAAGATTGCAATTTATACTTCAAAAATTTTTTTAGGTTATCGAAATGTTTGAAATGGAAAATGGCTGTGAAGTGTCTGAAGTGAATTTCGCCCAACACTGGATCTCAGCAACTGAGCAAGTTCAAAATTTAGATGTCAGTGTAAACAAAATGTCCTCCACTTCTAGGTCTAAGAAGTCCTCTTTGGGAGTCATTGCTAATATTGCCGGCTCAGCAGTCTCTGCCATGTCCGCAGGAAACATTGTAGATGAAATATTAACAAGACTTCCCTCAAATCTGTATAAACCAGTGAACATGAAGCCACAACTGAGAGACAAGACAGGCCTTGCAGAACTTCATAAGCACCTACAGAGCAGAAATGTTGCAAGTATGGTTGCTCTTGACTTGGCATGCACAGCATGTAAAGTCTATGAGACATCATTGAGTCTTCTTGACAGAGGGGAGAGCTCTGTCATCTCAAGCACACTTAAGGGGACAGTGACTGGGAAATCAAGCAGTGAGACAACTCTACTTGGTGTGAGCGACTTCCTTCAAGGTCTGTACAATGCTGTGAGGGTTGAAGGCCCACCCATGGATTCTGAGGTAGTCGGTGAGGGAGTGTTTATCAAGCAAAGTGTCCAAGAACTCCTTCTTTGCGGCAGTAGACCTCTCCAGGCCACTAGTCTTCAAAAGCATTATAGGTGGCAATCGGATATGTCAACTTCTATTAAGCATCTTGCTAGTGAATTGTCAGCTGATGGGGATAAACCGCCTACTAGATCACCTGTGTCCAGAATTCGTGCATCCAAACAATCTGCAAGTTCAGTTCACAAAGCCTCAAGTAACCTGATGCGAGTACTGGACAACAATGTCTACAGAGAACACAAGACATCGTCTAATTATTACAGCCACAGAGAAGAGCATTCACAGAAGCAGGTGAATTACATGAAGACTATATGTGATCATGTGAACACATTGGCTTCTGTGCTCCTGGAATCAAAAGGACGAGATACAGGTGAGAATACATTTTTAATAACAGTTTTTGGTTCAAATGCCAAGGGCAACAAATCTTTCGATTTTTATGGATATTGAATTTTGTAGGAGGAAATTGTAGAAGTCACACTCACAATAATATAATTTATACATATTTTGCATGTCAGGTTGTAGACTTTTCTTTAAATTAGGATGAATTATTTTAATGCAAAATTTATATTTAAAAAAAAGAATTGATTTAATAATTTTGCTTGTGATTATGTTTTAGGTAGTGGTGTGAATCTAAATATTTCAACTAAGTCATCCAACCCCTTTTCAGTGCTAAACAAAGGCCCTCACTCGGAGCTGGGTAAACTCATGTTCCATGATAATATCCCTCCGTCCAGGTATGTACAGTCATCACTCTTAATGCTTTGAAACTTGAAGTATTAGTGTAATGGTTGATGACTTGTATACGTGGTCTTTATGTGGTAATTAAAAGAAAAAACATTTAAAATCAAATATATATTCACTAAACAATACAAAAAATACTCTCCATAAATCTTAAAAACAGACTAATCAAGTTGACAGCCATTGACTTTTGACACCTAAGCCTGGCACACACCGATGGTCGGCCGACGAATCCATCTCTGCTCTGTGTGAGCAATAGATGACATCTGCTGATTGTCGGTGGCAGTATCAGCAAATTGTTAATGAATACATTCTGTAGCATTGCAGCCTGTTTGGCTGAACATTGCATTGTTTGCCCGGCTTTACGCCAGCATATTTCAAAGCACTCTGCGTTACTCAGTATCTTGTTCTTCACAGGTTAGAGACAATCGCAAGCAGTTTAAAACTTGATCTCGTTGATGTGATGGTTAAAAGCTGCTGTCCAATAATTGCACTTGATTCACCACCAGTGGTCAAGTCGCGGACTACTGATGGAAAAATTGTTTTGAATGTTGGACAACAATGGTCTCAACAACCAAGACACCCAGGAGTTGTGGTGAAGGAGCTGTTGTCTAGGTTAATCCGATTAATGAAAAGTTAGTTCGAGAATACAGTATTGTATTTTTTTAATAGATTCTCAATCACTCAATGAATTATTTAATGATAAAAACAATAAACAATAATAATAATAATAAAGAAGCAAATGCAAGTTTATTTTTAAAATATCTGTTTCCTTAGACCACATTGGAAGTTCTAATGTAGCTGGTGTTTTTGACATGGGCGGTGCCTTTCTGGCGAGTGGAATGCCAGAGTGGTTTGAGATTTCTGCAGCCACTTGTGAACTCCAGGTTGTTGACCTCGACCTCCTTCTTACTAATGATGACAAAATTTGCTTCTTTACCAACCTCTTAAATCTGTTACTGGTTCATGCAGCTATAGAACATATACAGGGACAAATGAAGGTAAGAACTTTAAGCTGACTTGTCTACTCAGCTTTAATATTTGCTCAGGTTTTGTTTTTTTAAGATTTTAAATTTAGTCATGCATTCCAATATGCTTGTATGGTTAGTTACATGCGTAGGTTGATGGCTAAGGTGCTTACATTCCAGTCTTGTGGTTCTGGTTTCAACGTCCATATTAATTAATTAATTTATTTATTGATTGGTTAGTTGATGGGTTGGTTGGTTGATTAATTGTTTTTTTTTCCTAATTAGATGAACATTAGCCCTACGAACCACACTAAACATGAGTCTCTGGGATGTAAATCAAGTCTTAAGGATTGGAATGTGCAGGAACCAGGAAGCTGCTCTTCATCAACGTTGGACAGGCTCTTATATTATTCAAACATTGCCTACAAAGTCGGACAGATCGGTGTCATTAGGTAATCATTCAAGTCATTGATAACGTACAGTTCAATCTCATGATTTTATCCAGGATTGTGTTTACAGAACAGAGGTCAAGCTCTTCCTCTTTACTCAAACTGTTTTTCCCTCTCTAAAAACAGCTAACTTCATCTAATATAGAGCTAGAAGACACTATATGTATAAGAAGGACAACATGCTGTAAAGAGCTTTTCAATTTTTGACTCCACCAAATGCCCTTAAATTTTTAATGTAAATTAAATAGATGAACTTACAAAAGTAATTGAAACAACCTACAGTGAAAATCTAGGGAAAAATAGTCTTTGTTTATTCAAGTTTTGTATATTTGTGAGCTGTCGTGACAAAATGAGTCTTGTGGTACAAAAAATGAAAAGTGAGTTAATGATGTATTTAGATAGATGAATATATAAGCTTTATTTTAGTGTTTTAGTGAGTAAAACTGGAGTAAGATCATTTTAAAGTTCAGATGTCTAAAAACATACTTAAGAGAAAATTGCCTCCAAAGACAAACAACTGATAAATTTTGTATTGGTTTTCCTATTAATTTTGAAAAATAGCTTAACAAAATGTGCCTTAAAAGCAAAACTCGGAACTGTTGCTACTATGAAATACACGTATTAAACTTATCAGAAAAATTGAAACCCAATTTTTGTCGAAATATCGCTTCAGATATATTTTCTTGAATATATAAAATTGACCTGTTGTACCACAAGACTCATTTTGTCAGGACAGCTCACATTTTATAACAAGGGAATCTGCCATTATCTTGTATGTCTTGATAGTGAAATATTTCATTTTCATATTCTGTAATTGTTTGTCTTGCAGTGCATTTGACCTGCGGTTTTCAGTTCTCCATAATGATCTTCCAGCGCCAGCTTTACTTGGGCCAATACTCAAGCAGTTGCAATCAGGTTAGTGCCTGCATTATTCTAGGATGCTATGAGTTGGGATGGAGCTAGGGTACATTATACCACTTTTGGAAAAACTCATATTCACAATCACAAGAAGAGTTAAAATGTGAAAAAGAAAGCTTTATTAAGACATCACAACAGCATAAAATCTAATCCAAACTTTGACTTACAAGGCATATTATTAGTCTCAATGCGCCAATTTGAGGGAGTGCTTGGAAATAAGAATATGATAATCAATATTATCATAGTCTGTTGAACTACCTTTCATCAATCTTTTTTATTTAAGGTCTTGGAAAGTGCTTACCTTGGCAGTCATATGTTCCTGGGCCTGAGAGCAGGTTGCTGTTTGTGATCGCCAATAGCTGCTTCTCATCACCTATTCTACAGGTGTGTGTAGGACATAATATTAAAAACATGTCTTTATTATTATTGTACTTTATTTTATTAAATCCTCAAAAGTTATATATATTTATTTAAAGCTATATAGCACCAACATTATGATCATTATCAGCACCACAACAGATATCATCACGAAAACCAAATCATTTTCTTTATGACCATAATCATCGTCAGCTGCATCATCATCACTGATATCAATGTCTTACATTTTCATTAATCATTGCTATCACCACCAATATCTTTCACCAACATCAACATCTTTAATACCACCTTCATCAGCTACATCATGTCACTATCACTATCATCGTTACTATTAACACAATCATCATCCCACCACCAACAGTATTACATACCTAAACAAATATTAAACCTCATAACGTTGTCATTTTCATCATGTTGTAAAGTTTTTTTTTAATAATATTTTTTGAATGTCTTAAGTCAATAATCCTCCTTGATTTAATATGCTGTTTTATAGTGTTCTGTTTACATTGCAGGTGTTGGAAGAAGATAATTTGAATATGCAGTTGACAGATGCCATGAGGGCCTACCTCGATTATCATGTGTCTGTAGACCATGATAAGATGCAGGTACACTTCACATTTATATTTGTAAATCACTGTTTCAAATCTCAAGGCTATATTTGTTTAAAGGAGAGATGGTTTTCCATGAGGAATTATCCTAGCTCTTGCAAGGGTTAAACCGAGACTAACAGAGCATTGACTTAAGGGTTCATGAACAGAGCCACAGAACTACAGCCATCCTGTCAGAACATAATGATAAATATGTAACTCTGCAAAATATATTTATTTTAGTTATTTAAATTATATTTATGTAACTAAGTAAAAGTTGTTCTTTGAATATTTTATTCTTACCCTGGAACATACATGCAACAAAACCACGACTATTTTATATTTATTCTGATAGATAACAATTCCACAGCAACTTGCATGGTTTCGTAAGGATTTCACGGGTAAAAATCTGCAGGAGAATGTTGAGTCAGGTCGTATCTTTGAGGGTTTGATTCACTTTCTGATAGCACACGTGTCTGCCGAACTAGGGGAAAGTTTAGAATCTGTTGTTCTAAGTTGTTCGCCTAGAAGGATAGAAGTTCAGAATAGAGGTAAGCAATTTGCAATTTGAACCAGTGATGTACACAAATCATGTATGGTGGGATTTAGTAAAAATACTAATACCTTTGATATACCATTTAGTGAAATAGACTATTTTTAATTTGATATGTTACTATAGAAATTCTCTTTCCTTCATCAGACTTGAATACAAAACATCCATTAGTTCAAATTCTCTCTAATGTTGATTGATTTCTGTTGTGAAATATACCTGAAATTTGAGGTCTGAACAAAATATTTGATTTCTGAATTTAAATTTGGTGTTCTACTGTTGACCTATGATTCACTCATCATTGCATTGTTATATTATTTGAAAAAACTTGGATCATTCATCATGACTATTATATTCAGACCTGCCTTTCTTTGTATATATAAAGATCAAAATAACATGTTTTTCACAAATATGTTGAGTAGTCAGAAAATGTGTTTTAGTAATAGATCTAAGTGGGATAAAGACATTCGTTGATTTATTAACATAAAATGTAAGATCTTAAATTTTTACTAAATGTTTTTTTAGATGACCCTTCCGGTAATGAAGCTAGCAAAATCGGAGGCTTGAAAATTAAGATAACTACGATGGACTTTAGTTTTGGCTACATGTTCAGTTATGCGGCCGGTCCGCATGGCAGAAGCGTGCGAAGACGATCATCTGCTCCCTCTCTCGGTCAAAATGAAGATGATGATGATGGAAAATTGAATCAGAAACCAACATTTTCTCCAAACCAAGAAACACTAAAATATATGCAGACAAAGAATCAGTTCATATGGACAATATCTAAGGTGGTTGGTTGCGTGGATGGTGGTGGTGATTGGAAGCTGTCAACACATGTTGATGAATACAGTGACAGCACACTAATGGAGACATCAACTTTAACCGATGAAGAAACTTCTCCCTATGGATTGGAACGATTCCCTGATTTGCAAAGATATTTACAGGTTTTTTCTGCTGTATTTCTCCGTTTTCACAATGATCACCATAAAACAGATAAAGTAAAATCTCTAACGGATGCAGCAGTTTCCGATAGTATCTATTCATACATCTTTGGAAGGGTAGACAGCAGAACTTTTCAAGAAGCCATCACTAGTGATCTGAACAAAGCACTAGAAAATGGACAGTGGCAACAAATACTTAATATATTAGATTTACTTATACATTTCCAGTACGATAATTGTAATGATTTAGTGACATTACGCGACTACATATTAATAAGTCTTAACAGCGAGTGCAGCTTGGATGTCACGACATCAAAGAAGTACTTAATGCAGGTGCAGCATGAGGACCTTCTGGCAAATTCAGTACTTAGCACGCTTCCATCTTACTCCTCTGAAGTCTGTCTTGAGTTACTTGAGCACTGTGTCTTCCAGTTATCAGCAGATTCTCCACTTCTGGAATTTGTTAAGCAGAAATATAAAGAAATGCAGATATATAACAAGGTATATTTTATTTTGATATTATTTCCTTCTGTTAAAGATGTACTGTCTGCACTCAAATCTGGAAAACCATAAAGAATCAATTAAAACATTTAATTGCTCATTTATAAACATTAAAATAATTGAAATATATTGTAAACTTTTAATGAGATAATTTTAGTTAGAAATGATATATTAAATAAAATATTTCTTACATCTGTATGCCATTTTCGCTAAATTTGAAATGAAAAATTCCGAGAACCTGGCAACTACCACTTGGCGAATTCCAGAGGCCTAGGCATTTTACTCTATGCAGTTAACATTGTTTATCTGTGCCTGGTGCTCAACCTTGTTGTTCTATAGGCCTAGGCTAGTCTTTGAAAACAAAATGGCAAAACAAAAAAAAGAAAAGAGGATAAAACCTGCAGTGTTTTTGGTTGTCAAAGTACTCAAAAAAGATGTGTCCGGAAAATACGAAATTTGCTCACGCTAGGCTGCTGGATGTCCCCCAGTGAAAATTAGCAAAACATTGGTCACGCTGTTTCAAAATAGACCCGATAAATTGGTGTATACATGACAACATTTTTAATATTAAAATTATTTTTTGGAGGTTTATGTTATTATATTCAAATGTAACATTCATTTTTATTCTACTATTTTTGTTTTACTCTGGCTTTTCATTTTAACATGAAGTCTATAGAGGCTATGTAAACATAAATTTATTATTTTTATTAAAATGAAGAATTTTCATGCAATTGTCTTAAAATAGATATCACGATATGCAAAGCAGTACAAACCAGTGTCATGTGATTTAATAGACACCAACGAAATAGACGAATTGGTTAATGAGATGGATTGTTACTCACAGTGGCAGTATATTGCGGAGCAATCATTGGCGAAACCTAAGCAAGTGTTGGCAGTCATTCTATCAGCTCATGATTATGAGACCGCACTCAATTGGGCCAATCTTCACAATTCCACAAAACCACTGAAACAGGTGAGATATTGATGCTATCTTTAATCAGCTTTTGCTTTACAGTACCATCAGAGGTGGATCCAGTAATGTGGGCTGGCCTACCCCCCCCCCCTCCCTGTTTTGCCACTAAATTTTAAAAATTTCAATGCAAATCAAGGTTATGTGCTTCTTAATTACATATTCGGAAAATGTTGTGCCCCCCGCCCCCCGTTTGAAAAATTCTGGATCCACCCCTGACCATCTCTGCAAAGTTTCAAAATGATTATAATACTACACATCATTATTAGTTGGTAATCAAGCCTTGTTACCATGGATTTGTAACCATGGAAACCAAGAAATTCTTCTGTAGTATTTTTCTGTTGTTTGCTTGGGTTAGCCATCTTTCCAAGATTTTCTGGATCAAATTGTTTGTTAAAGAAATTGAGTTGCTTAGATTGTTCATAATGATGTGTACTTGTGAAAGAAATAAAGAAATAAGAATGGTTTGCTGTTTTATTTTATAGGTGATTGAGAAGAAATATTTAATGTCATTACTACAAGAAATTCATCCAAACATCAAGATTTACCAGGTGATAATATCCTTTCCTTTTCACTCCATTTTCTTTCTATCAAATGCAGTTCATCTTTATACAGAGTGATGGAATACACATGTAGCATTCTGTAATTAAATTTAGGTGAAATGTATTCCCTAGGTCTTGCCAGAAGGTTGTTAGATCAGGATCAGTGAAAGGAACATAAAACTTTTTCTCACTTCAGATATTTTTTACTTTCGTTTTTTGTTTATCTTCATTGTCACTTGTTTTTGAGAAGGCCAAAAAGGCACTTGCTTCCTGCAACTGTATAAGGTGAAAAAATAACATTAACATAACTCTTTATTTTGAACCAGATTCTTGAGGGAATTGACGACAAACATTACTGCTACACACTGTGTAGGTCACTGATGCTGACCTCTGGTGTAAGCTTACTGGGTATCAACTCAGTTGTCCAGTTTGTGACTACCAGCCTAGCTGACCATATTGCTCCTGATCAACTTCAAGAATTCAATGCAACAAGGATTGGCGTCAAGGTAACAACAAGTATTATCTGTCATAATTATTTATAATGGTATTTATTTGAGCATTTGTATAAATCTCTGTCGATAATTTCCCGTTAATTTTATCAGTAAAATCAGGCAATGATGAGTATGGATAGGAATGCCATTCATAGATGCCTGTGTGAAGAGATCCTATTATGTGCGCTCACCATCCTAGGAGTGGCTAATTTGTATTTATTTACTCTTACTTTTTGATAAAGAAGTGCATTTATCTACTTTCATTAGACCTAGAAAGACACACAATTTGTTTTATCAGATAAATCTAAAATAAGCCTCTTTACCAAAGTTTGATGTACAGTTTTCTTTAGCATTATTCGAATTCCCACAGTCACAGAACAACACTTGTTTTATCAAATATGTCTGAAGTAAGCTTTCACTGCCAGACACACATACTAGATTAAAATATATGCAAATGTTGTTTTTATTATGTGTATTTATATTGATAAGATGTTGCTTTGTATGCCGTCAAGAACACAACCTGGGTATGAGCATCTGATGAGTGAGCCGTTACTGATCCTGGAACAGTTGATCATGAACGCTGACGTACGTACAAAGTTTTGTACAGTAATTCATTATGGTACTGATGATACTATGAATATTGATGATGATGGTGGAGAGGATGATAATGGAAGTGGTAGTTATAAAGATAATTTACATGATATGATGCTGGTGATGATGAAGACAATGTGAAGTTGAAAATGAGGAAGATGATGATAGTGGTTAGGGTAGAGATATGGCAACCTCATAAACTCCATTATCTAGGAGTTTGGATGACACATAATAATAACATTGGAAATTAAGATGGTGGTAATAATATTTATTGAGGGTTATAATAATAATTATGACAATAGTGATTTAATGTTCTGTATGCTGAGTCTTATTAGCAAGATCTTTTCGCTTGTGTTGACTGAAATCATTTTATATTACGTTATTATTAATTGATACATTATTATTTACTTTGTTCTATTTTTATCTTTAAGCTTGTTGTTGCTAATAAGGTAATGACGGTTTTGAATGAGTATGTTGATAAACAACCAGAAACAAATGGCTGGAAGAAAGCGGTCGATCAACTCGTCTCCAAATACGCAAGCGAGGCTTTGATTATTCACACAATTGCCGAACATTGGGGTTAGTTTATTCTGCAGTGTTTCTTTTTTTTGTGTGGTTAAAGGAAGAAAAATAATTTGATGTTCTGGGTCAGTTGATTTTTGTTATCTAACCCACACACATTGTTTTACACCATCCTCAGAGCTATCTTGTTTTACATAGATATTTTTGGTGTGAACCACACCAAGGATACACCAAAGTCCGAAGACTTGTTTCCAGTGGGAAGAATGCACTGTGCTTTTTAACATGCACATGGGCCATATTGCACACTGGGACCAACAGCTTTAAAAACATCTCATCCAAAAGTCGGTGTGCTACCGTAGTCTATTTCGTGAATACTTACCTGGATAACCGACTAATTGCCATTGTTCCCAAAACGGAACACCCCTTCGAAAAAATGGAACAGTCCGACCCAAGGCGCCATGTGCGAACCGTCTCCCTAACAAACGTCCTCATTCCCTTTTCGATGTTGTTCGAAGTTGGATACACCCAGCCTTGGAAATTACTAGCAGTCTTTTCAAGATATTCTTATTTTGCCTTGGATTTATTTTCAACTTGACAAGATATCCTTTGTTTATTGTAGTCTCGATCGGCATGTCCGCTCGCAAGTCTTTGTGCTCGGCGTGTGGGGGCCCTAAACCGAGTGTTAAACTCGACCGGCACTCGGAGTGCCCGTTGTGTCGCTCGTGTAGCAAGGCTGAGTCTTGCGAGGTTTGTGCGCGCTGGCCCCCGACTAAGTTTGCGGCGGCTCTAGATTGGGCAGCTCAGGCTGCCACTCGATCTCAGGGTTCGCTGCCGGCTGCGTCGGGGGTTGTTGCGGCGCCGGATGACTCATCCAAAAGTCGGTGTGCTACCGTAATTTGTATTTCAGTCCTTCAGCTGAAACACAAGGAGAGTAGTGATAAGAATTGATCTGGGGACCTACAGAACAGTTCAGCGCACACACAGTGGCTACCACCGGTGTAGTCGACTGAGCTAAGCTGGAATTGCATGAACATTGGCGTTGCTATACCTTCACCCAATGTTGAATTACATGATTGGTTCACTGAATTTCCAGTACATATTTCAGACATTATAATACCTATCTTTGTAGATGACTGCTCCCTAGATGAAGAGCAGGAACAATCTGCTTTCCCAGATGCAGACACTATGTCTGTAGTGAGTGACATAAAGGATGAGTCGTCACCTTACTTGCCCTCATCACCACCCAAGAAAGAAGACTGGGTGAAAGACTCAGCCGTAACTGTCTGCATGGTCTGCAAAACTGAGACCTTTAGTATGGTAAGTCATTAATGACTAGTGTAAGTTATTATCTTTAGATATACCATAACTTACTTTATACAATACATTAGATTATGTTTATCAAATGGATTACGTATTTGAAATAAAATATAAATAAAATTTTAAATGTTAGTTCAATAGGAGACATCATTGTCGCCGCTGTGGACGTGTTGTGTGCTGGCGTTGTTCTCAACTACAAGCTGTTGTCAAAGGTTATGGCGAGGTTCCTGTGCGAGTATGTGATGATTGCTACAGACATTTTATCATACCAAGAAGGTAACTAATCTTCTGTTAGATTGTTGGTAGTTTATATATGTGGAGTCATCATTATTTTGGGATGAATTAAGCTTATTTTTGTCTTTACCATTCTGCTTAATGAATGGTGATATTAATGGGCATGATGTTGAGGAGGCTAAGAAGAAAGGACCCCACTGAAAATACCTCTTCTTCAGACTTTTTTGGGTTATCCTTGGTGTTCACACCAAATAAATCCATCCATGATTAGGTGATGATAATGTATAAAATAAATTTTATGCATTAATTTACAGTTTAAATACCCATGATGTACTACATACTTACCTAGATAGACTATTTGTTATGTAAGAACACCCCTTGAAAACAATGGAATAGTCAGACCCTGAATGAATGTCTGCATAACTACATCCTTATGCTTTTTCACTCTTCAGTACATAATGGCAGAGTGATTTATTTTGTGCATTAACTTACCGTTCAGGTGTCCACTAATGAATTTAAAGCTTTGTACACACTATCAAATTGTATACAACAAAAAAATGTGATACGCCCATATTTGGGTGTAATATGACATCATCAAACCCAGATATATGGGCACATCACACAAATTAGTCACATAAATTTGAAAGTATGTGTTTTCTTATTAGAGTTTCTATTAGGCAAGAGCCATCTCCAAGGAGAGACAGGAGCCTATCAGGTAAATACTTTGTTTGCATATTTCTATCAACCTCTGTCCACATTATCAAATTTTCTTCAGAGAAAAATGTTTTATGCCTATATGTAGTCATGATATGCCCATATATGGTCATGATGTAATGTCATCATGACCATATTTAGGCATCACATTAAGTTTGGTAGTGTTGACATGGATTCAGATATATACTCTCAGTGTTAATAAAATCCATTGTCAATATTGCTTCATAATGTATTAATAATATATAAAATGCTTATGTGTTAAAGCTGGCTAGAATTTATATTGAATATTTCTGTTGAATTAATTAAATTATAGGTACAAATTTGAGATCTGCTGATCGCAGATTAAGGCGATCACCAACCCCCAGTCTTAGAAGTGCTTACCGTTTGCCATTACCCAATGCACCAGAGGCGCTTTTCAAGCTCAAATGTGATACTGTTTACAATACAACTGTCCGAGACGAATTCTGCTATGACCAGGTTAACAGTTTACTTAAATTTTTTAATGTTAAAATGCTAGTGTTTTATTTTGTGGCTCTTGTTTAATGGATGTCTCCAATTGTCATAAATTTTTAACATAAATTATTTCTCTGTTGTATATCTGATGATAATATATCTGGTACGATTTTATAACGGTACAGGTAGGAGAATAACCCATAACTCACATTTTGCTGAATTACATACAGTTGTGGTTCGTGTGGCTACTGTAGCAGCCATAGAGAGGCCCTTAGTTCACATAATTTAACGACCGGGGGGCTGAAATGAACCATAGCATCAGGGTAGCCCCTACATTTCCGACAGAAGCAATGGGTTCTTTAAAGTGCACATGAGGTGTACACTAGACCTCCTGTTTTTTAAGTCCTTATCTGAGAAGACTTGGTTCTATTAACTGAACCCTAGACGAGTAGCGGCTCAAAATATCAGTAACTCAACTCACCCAAAATCATAACAAATGATGATGGTTATGATGCTGGTGGTAGGGATGGTTGAGGATATTGTGGATATGGTGTTTGTCATGGAGATGATAAATATGATTTTCTGAATAATATATATCATGTGGGCCTATAACATGGTGGCTCATGTGCTTGCCTTCAATTTCCCATTTCCCTGGGCTCAAATCCTATGAAGCCCAGAACTTGTTTCTCATTACTAAAAGCAACTCCAATTACTGAGCATGAAAATGAGTATATAAAGGAGTGAAAAGTCATTATCATCAACTGTTGAATGAAAAAAATTAAATTAAAAATTAAGTTAATTTTTTTTTTTAGGCTCCGAGCACATCTCTGTGTATTTCTATACTTGATCTTCATAGCGATCCCAGTGAATGCGGTTCTTTAATTCTTGACCTCTGCCGAGGCATGTCGGAAAATCTACGCCCTTTGAAACCTGGCGTTCCCAACCCCGAGATTGATTACAACTTGCTAATCAGGTAAGCAGTTATTATATCGTTAACAAAATGATTAATTAGTTTTGAATTGGAGTATGCCTATTTGTGCAACAATCAATGCTGCAAAAGCCATCTGCCCAACACCCGATTCGAACCTACGACCTTAGAATTAACAGCCCAAAGCTTTAACACTGTGCCACATTTTCACCAATGTATTACTGTTAATATACAGTTAATACTGTTATCATTTTCAGCATGATCACTAGGCTTTTATTTGATGCCAAGTTGAAGTTCATGAAAGCGGAAGCTATCCACTGCATAGAGCAATGCGATACTTACATCAGCCTGGTTGACCTTCTTTCAAATTTTGTTGCTGCCAACTGCCCTGATATTCCCAGTATTCATCAATTAACAAAGCCAGATTCAGCAAGGTTAGTATTTGTTTACTAAAATACTGTTTTTATAATATAATGGTATTTTTAATCTAATTAAACAACATAGCAAGTTAAACAAGAGCAACATCTCACCGGTCCGCGCATTCCTTCACGCTTAAATATGGTACAGACGCAAGTTATTATATTGGGTTTTTTAAAAGAGCTAATAAGATAGATATTTTTAAAGAATGTTTATTTGTACAAAAAAAAATATTTAGAATGTTAATTTGTACAAAATTAAAATGTCTTAAAATTCTATTCGCAGCTCTCTCCTTGCAAGTTTTAAATTGTGCTGTCTTATTTTTATTTTGATCTAATTAGCTATTATTTTTCCACACCCAAGTAGCTTTTTTGCTCTCACATATTTTTGTGATTTTTAAGACTGATCCGTGACAGGTTATTAGAAAGCGAACGCTTGAGTCTTGCAATGGAAGTGTCCACCAAGTGCGGGCTGGACACCGGAGCTGTCTGGGCCTCTTGGGGGATGAGCTGCCTCAGGTCAGGGGATTACGAAGGAGCAAAGGAAAAATTCAAAAGAGTCTTGAAGGTAAATGAATGTATTAATTTTGCAATTAAGATTGCTAATATTGTTATTGTTGTGGTATGCAATTATACAAAATATCAGGACTGAAAGCTCAAACATTTTTATGGTTCAGCTGCGCCACTTTTCAAGCAAAGCTTCCCTAATATTAATTCAAACCACTCCTCCCCTTACTTCAAACCATCAGATTGATGATAAGATTCACTAATTATGTGCTAGAATGCAATGATATGAAGGTAGAAAATATCTTATCTGTATAATCTTTTTTTATTATGTAATTATGTGCTTGTCTATTACAGCCTGCGGATGATAAGAACAGTCTTCAACCACCTTCAAAACTGCTCTCAGATATTCTTCAGTTTCTGGAATGTGTCAACACAGAAGCTGTGTCTGTAAGTCGTTTTCATCTTCATTGTAACTAATTAAAGTGATGCATCCAGTAATTTATTTTTATATTAAACTATTGAAGTATTCATAAATACAAATTTGTCTGATATTTTTATTTTATTTATTTATTTTTTTTTAAATCCGTACTTATATACCACCTATACACAAACCAAAGAATATACAAAGGCGCTGGTGATGGTATTTCCTAGGTCATTGGATACATAATTGTCAAACCAGCACATTTTTGTGCAAGTTTCTCTGCTCCCTTTGGATTATCATGCTGCTTTACCTGCACAACCTAATACCTTCAATGCCACACCATCCTACCAGGTACCCATTATGCTAATGAGTGGAAAGAGGTGAACATAAGTAAAGTGCCTTGCTCAAGGACACAAGCAAATGAGACAGGCGTCAGTCTCGAACTTAAGATCTTTACATGCTGTGCCACACGCTCCTATATATATTGGCCCAGAACCTCTGAAAATTAAGTGTAATGTCTTTAACATCTAGGAGCCTTAAAGCTCCTTATAAAACTAGTGGAGTGAAGACCTGATTATCTAAGGTAGTATCTTTATGAAAGTATTGTCTTGGTGAGAGCAGATCTCTTTAGGAGGCTTTAAACGTTTCTTACCATTATAAGGCTAATGAATACTTGTGGATTGATATTTTTATAGGTCCAAGAAATCAGCAAGGCCTCTCCGAGCTATATCAAAGATTATTTTGCTGATCCAAAGCAGGTATTGAATTGTTAAGGAATGGAACATACTATTACATATAATTTAGTTTACCATCATGATAATATTATATGATATAAGTATACCTAGTCAAACTGAATAGTGTTTAAGCAGTCAATAATAATTAAAAACTTGTGTTATAGGAAAGTTAAAGTGTTTATTAAAGGATGGTATTCTCCTTCCAAAAATACGCTATATAAATAAATATTATTATTATTATTATTATTACTTCGTCATATGTATATACCGTAAAACCTCGAATTGAAGCCCTGGGCTTCTTTTTTTTGCGAACTTTAAATGGGCTTTTTTTTAGATGGGCTTGTTTTCAAGGCTACTTTTGCAAAGTAAAGAGGGGGGTCTTTTTTTTCAAAATAAATGCTGTAAATTTTGTGAATTTGTAATATAAAACTATAAGTAAGGCCACTGTAACATCGGTCTTTATTATTGAGTATGTGTATTTAACTGGCATTAAAACACCTAAACCACTGTATAAACCAAGCTTGTTTTAAATTTATTTTGTTTTTTAAAATACATGTACAGTTCATGATGGGCTTCATCTCGAGATTAAGCCCATTGGGCTTTAATTAGAGGTTTTACGGTATTGTCATTAGCTTTTCTCCATTTTCTTTAAAGATAACGTCAGTTTTGGAGCAAATGAATAGCGGTCCATTGGAAGAGTGCAAATGGTACATTCAAACGTTTGGCACGCATCTGTCGATGGTGGAGTTCTACCTGAGACATGACTACCTGGCTAAAGCAGTGTTTTATATCATTGCTGAGGTACAAGCATAATTTTTCTAACTGTCAGCATATTATTTTTTTAATCTCTCAGACTACCGATAGTTTACAATAGTTATTAACATTTAGAAGAATATGACCATACACTTTAGCTTCAGGATTTTAAAGCAAAATTTTAAATATATGTTACTGATATTTATTTAGATTAGGCTTATATATCAAATAGTATAATTCCATTATTGATATAAAACGCAGAAATTACTATAAAATTTATACATTAAACAAATTACTCAAAATATATACTGTATTTGAATTAATTTTGCATTTGCAGAAGTGTGCAGCCCCTGTATTTCTTGAGGGCATTGTAATGCCGTGCCTTAGAGAGGGCAGTATTCATAAGCTACAAGAGCAGATGAAGTTAGTTGACTCAGGTTTTAGTATGTGGTCTACGTACCTGACAGCTACTTGTCGCCACCTGACCAGTAAACGATACTTCCATGTACTGTATCTATTCCAGGTTTTTATGAAGGTATGGCAACAACATGTGTGGGATTAACTAATTTTTTTATGAGTCTTGGAGTGGAGCTAGTTAACCACCAAGCTGCATTTGCACTTCAAATAAGCAAAAGCTCTTTGAGATGTTTTTATTGAAAAGCATTAATTTTTAGCATCCTAAAGCAATTCACTTTATTATGTTACTCTGGTATTGTCAGCATAATTGTCTGCAACACCATAATAGTTCTATTTGTGTTATTGTATCAGTATACAGGCTTCTCAAGTTAGTAAAATGTATTTCAGTAAATGTTATTATACAATAACAGCTGTGAATTTTCAAACAAACTGGACAGGATGAATATTTATTACAAATTAAGATAAATATCATTCCATAATGCCTATGGACAGGATTCTGTGAACGTCCATGATAAGGCAAAAATTTTGTTTCAACTACGAATGTTCCATAGAAATTGAGAAGTCAGATTACACTTTAACATATTTAATAGCTTTACTAATGCTCCATTTCCTTCACAGGATTTTGTGCGGGCCTCGATGACATGTATTAAATTTTTCCAAGACCGAGTTAAATCTTATACTGAATTGTTTGAGCGTCTGCATTACCTAGACACAGCAAAACACCACTTGAGAACTGCGAGTGACATGAGAGGGTTGCCTAGAGGAGCTGCACACCAGATGTCACTTTCAGCGCCAGACATTGCCAAGTGAGTCTATTGTAACTTATATTTCATTTCATTTATTTCATTTTATTTATGAACATTAAAAAAAAACATTAAAATTTGCAAAAACAGAAACAGCAAAGAACAAGCACAAAAGAACTTGAGACAGGTACACTTCAAAATTGAACTAAATCACTGTCGAGTGGGGGCCCTTTGACAAAAAACAAATGCTTACAATATAAACTTTTGCTTATTGATAAAATGTCTAAAGTTCAATATTTAAAAAAATCAGTAAAACGAGCATAAATTAAAAGGCATTTAAAATATTAAAATATTCAGATGATGCAATAAAATTTACTTTTAGAAATTCAATTTTAAAATGTCAAGAAATTTTGAAGCAACCAAGTAGAAATGCAAGTAAACAATTCAATGTAAAAAAATATAAAAATTATAAAATGCAAAAATTGATGCCTGTTGCACTTGACAGATGTAACTGTTGTTTTTTGTTTCATAGGTTTTGTTACCATCAAAATAACTGAGGCCAACATTACCTCACATGTTTTTAATAAATATAAATCTATATTATTTTAACAAATTGTTTATTTAAATATAACATGTTATAGGCCTAAACACAAATTATGGACTAAATAAATCTGTAGCGTGTTTGTTTTGGGCTTGTACTGTTTAGCGGTCTCAAGTACTTCTAAAGTTGCCCCAGTTTTGCATTGTCCAGTAGCTGGGGTTTAGCCAGAAAAACGATATAGGACGTCCAAAATGGAAGCCAGTGGGCGTGGCACTGAGCCTATGGGTGGGCAACGCCCATTCGGGGCCACGCCATGGGAATCCCCACCGAATATTGGGTGGTACAATTCAATCAATAAATGTTGTTTTTATCAAACGTAAATATGATTTAACTTTAGTTTAATGTAATATTCGATAGATTTGAAGAATATAAAGAATTTGCTAAAGGTAGTCCAGGCCCAATTAGGCTAGGCTGAGCTGATTAAGCCAAGCCGTCCAAGCCATCTCGGTAAAAGTGGCCGTCCTAAATAATTGTAGGCCGTCAAAAAGACAGCCAGACGGCTTGCTGGCTAAGCCTATGTCCAGTAGTAACTTGCTATCATTATTATTAAATACTTTTACAGGCACATAAGAACGATTGAAATGCAGATAGAAGTAACCAAGTGTATTCATCAAGTTGGTCATTTGGAAATATCGAGGCTGTCCAGAGATGCTGACAAACAATCATCAAATGTTTCAACGCTCTTTGGGGCTGGTAAAGACAAAGCACAAGTTGCTTACATGGTACGTATCTCTTCTTTTATAAAATGATTTTTGTTTTGTCATATTTGTCGTGGATGAGTTATACTGCAAAGCTAATCTAATTGGACCTTTTATGCTCTAAAATTGAGTCTATGAAACTTGAGGAGTGGCACGCAGGCTGACCACTTGGGACTCACAAAGCTTTATAACAAACTTCTTTGTTACTAAGTTTCAGGCTGAACAAATATATCCAAATAACATAAAAATTCTCCAAAAAAGAACCCCTCTTTAAAAAATAATAAAATCACCCATGTTTAATGCCAGCACCAAATTGATATTTTTTTAAATATTTGTATTATAATTTGTAATATGTACTTTTCTTTCTAAATAATTTGCCATAGATGTTAATGGTAGGATTGGAAATGGAACAAGGATTCACTATTGGTTACAGAATTATTCAGGTAATTTCCATCTTTTATTTACAATTTCTATTCTCTGTAGTAGCGAAGACATGACAGACAAGATAATTATTTTCAAAATATTTAATTTTTTTTCATTATACAGCAAGTAGTTGCGATATGTATATATACCTTGAAATACTTGCATCCAGAGGCAACAAAACTAAAGGAAGGCGTGTGGCATAGCATAAAAGAGCATGGCGCATTCAGGTGGGGGTAGGGGAAGATGCGATAGACAAAATAAAGTAAGGCATCACCAGGGATAGCCACCTGGCATGTTGTACTGAATGTGGGTACGAAATATTGGAGCTTAATAGGTGTGTTACGGGGAGGTGGAGTTTTTTTTTTTTAAGATGGTTGTGTGTAATCTTGCATGACCATCTTCAGAATTTTAAACATGGCCGCAGATTGGGGAAAGTTACCCATGATTGTTGTTACAGACCATGTATTGTCACACTTTCAAAATAGGCATAGATTTTATAAAAGTGTTACAATACACACCAAGAAACACCCACAAATGTCCTGAGACTTATTTCCAGTGGGGTGGGGTTTATAGAAAAAACTGGTATGGATCTTAACCAACAACAGTTCAAATTATCTACTGTTTCAATTTGATTATTTTTGTACACAGATATATCGTCTTCCTGCTCCTGTGATTTTCACCCGTGTTGGTCGAAATCTAGCAGAGAGACGGAAAGTGAAAGAAATTGGAGGATTCTTGGAGAAACTTTGTGGCAATAGATACTGCGATGCGGACACTGGCGATGATATTTTGAGTGCTTGCGTCAAGGTCATTGCTCCTGACCCTCAGTGTGCTAAAGAGACAGAGTATCTTATTAAACTTATGAGAAGGAAAACAAATCAGGTATTTGCTCAAGTTTTTGTTTGTTATATGGTCGTCGGCTGATACGATTCTATGAAGAACGCAACGCCACGAGGGGCACCCAACAAATTGTTTTTAATGACAATTCATTCAGACTGTCAATGACAATTAGCAGAAGGTGTCACATTGGCTAGCGCTGTCAATGAGCAGAGTTGAATTTGTCGTACAACCATCTTACGACTCAGTGAGTCCCCAGCTTAAAGTCTAGTTGTAAATATGTTGTCCATCGTTACTTACGATATCATTAGATGTGGAGTTCACTAATGAACTCTCATGTGGCTTTGTAGTCCAAAGGCTTAAGCACACAATCAGGCATATATGGGGTACAGAAAATCAGTAGACTGGGTTGGTGGTAGGAATGGTGCCCTGTGATGTCATTCTCAAGCAGTTGCTCCAAGCTCATGTCAACGTGGCTCAAATGTCAAAAGCTAGTTGCCACTGGTCCCAGTCACATCTCTCATCAGCTGCTGTGGACTCTGTTTACACAGCGTACAATCACAATCATCACCTACTTTATTACTCATGGTTTGTTCTGTCATTCTTAAATCTTCTTTTTTGTAAAGATGACAAATTATTATTAGTGTTATTATCTATCATTTAATTTATTAATCACTCTTTTTATATATTTCTGTTACAGGTGAATGCTTATATATTATGTGGCAAGCTGAAATCAGCATATTTGATTGCAGTGAAGTCTGAAAGCGAAGCGGACATCAAGCGCATAGCGGTCGCTGCCCAAGAAACGGGCCAGGCCGCTGTTAAATCTATCTGCGACAAGTGGCTAGCATCAAAAGGAATGAAATAATTATACAATCCCATAATATACAGTACTTTCTATGTATTTTTGTATTTTTTTTTAATACCAGTGACATGAGATAGAAGAGAGAATACAGGACAAAAAACATATAGCACATATATTATGCATTTTGTGGCTTTATGTTATCTTTTAAGGTGCCAGAGAATGATTGATTGATTGATTGATTGATTGGTTGATTGATTGAATGATTTATTCATTTATTGACTGGTTGGTTGTTTGAATAAACTTAACAACTGTAATCAACACTTTTATGTATTCAATATATTATTATTTATACATATTATGCATGAATCTCTGAATTATTATGCCATCTACTATTTCCTCTCAGGAAAAAAAAAGTGCATTTGCCAAGAGGTAATGTTCTTGCTTTTTGCGCTGAAGATCCCAGTTCAAACCAGACCAGCATTTTAACTTGTTCTGCTCCTCCAATAACCTTCCTATTATAGGCAGGCTAAGGGACAATATATCCATTGTATATCTCGATACTGGCAATGCACTGCTGCTGCCACAGGGGCCCGGATAGAATTTCCAGTTTCGAATATTTGGAATTAAGCAAAAAAGAAAGAATTTAAGTCCAGTTGTATGAATGTGTTGTAGTGATCAAGGCATGTATAGTGTGGTGTATGAATGTGTTGCAGTGATAGAGGAAAGCCTTCTAGTGTATTAATGTGTTGGGGTGGGGTATAGAGACACCCTATCCGGGTGTACGAATGATCATGTGCTTGGTAAATAAGTCTGTGCAATTATTGGAAATACAAGTAGAAGATTGTCTCCCAGTGTAGGGGTATACGGACCAATCACAGTCAAGCTGCAGAGACACTCCAATATGTATCCGAAAATTGAAGGGATGCATTTTAAAATATATTCAGGATATTAAATTTATATTAAAATATAACAAATTAAATATAGGCTACTTATGTACAAAATTATATAAATTATGCACTGAAAGTATTTAAATAAATAGCATAAATTTGTACCACGTAGGTTGTGAGGTGCCAGTGTGTTTATTTGTCTGGCCTCTTCCTCTTCAACATTTTGCAATTGCTTTCTCAATTGACACTTATACACTATCATCATGTTCACTCGAATATGCTGAAGAACAGATCCAAGGGGTGAAGCACAAATAAACTAGTATGTTCTGAGTGGTATGGTTTAGGAATGGTGTCCCCTTCCGTATGATATGGTCCCCTGTAAGCTCCGGTGTTTTTGTCTTTTAATGTCTTATGTAAACAATTTGGTTAGCGGTTTCTTGGCTGCTTCTGGGGTGGGGAAAGGGTGAGCGTCCCTTCCACCCACCCAACCCATGGATTCGCCACTTATTTACTGTCACTTAATTTGCCGGTTGCTTTTGTTGCTCATATTCAATATATCCAACCATACATTTAATTTATTGAACACAATCTCCATGTAGCTTAACAAGCATTTATTAATATTAATGCTCAGTTGGTAAATATAATACAGCAGATTAAAATAGTATATTCTGTTTGTATTGAACTACAAAAAAGAAGTTTAAAAAAATATTAAATTGAAAATTATACTGAGCAGGTATATCCATGGTATATCAAACCTATAAATTACATCTCTCCTTTAATATTTGCATTAATAAGCCAGTTCGTAGTTCTACCTTCACATCCCTGTATCTATGTCAATCAACATGAACACGCAACAGTGGTTTATGTTGATTGACCTTTGATACGTGCATGCGCAGGTAGAACTACGAATTGGCTTATCAGTTACATGTTGGTAGTTTTACTGACATTCTTTCAGTTTTAGTGTAATGTATTATTACACTAACCAACTCGCTCCAGTACTACATTAGAGCAAAAACGGGCAATTCAATTCTATAATATTGAATTGTTTACACTTGAAGATGAAGGTAGCCTACAGTATATTAAATGATGTCAACACCCAAAGTTCCACTATGTTTAACGTCAATTTCTCGCATCAGCACTAACAGATTTGTGGGCATATACATTATGTATCCATCGTGCTCATCATCACGTATAACAAGTAGCCAGAGTCATGTTTATTTGATATGCCTCAGCACTCTACATTTTCGTTTTACCAAAGTACAGTCCGTGATTGGTTGATTATTACTATATAGACAGCTACGTATAGAGTAAATAAGTAAAATTAACCCCTGTAGCACGAAACGTTTGATGTGGATTCCCGTTCACGTGATGCTTTTGATTCCTTTGCGCTTGACGCATTTCACGCTATTCCAAAACCAAAACACGCAAATATGTGATGTATAAGTATCATTTTTGATTTCCATTGAAAATTGCGGACAAATCACATGCAGGCCAACACTTGCTTCAATACATGTCATTCGTTATACAAGGCAAAACAGTAATTTCATCGGCGATTCATTGATTCTTTTTCTATTTTTTTCATCAGTGTTTCAATAATATTCATTCTGGTGTTTGAACGGGCGATTTCCACTCTGCGTTAAGTGATTCTAATTTGGAAAGTCATTCTTATATTTTCGTTGGCTAACATTAAAAAAACTTGTATGGATGTTTAAGACAATTTGTACTTTAATTTCATGTATGAAAAAGCCGTTTTCATACGAGTGCACGTCATTGTTCGTACATTTTCTTCACATATGAAAGCCGTGCCTGTCTAAGCGAAGATTTATGTAGGTCTAATTCCAGCCTATCACATCGACTGAGAGTTTGTTTCAACAGAGCATAAAAGGATCCTCGAAGTTATTTCAGGAGACATTTTATACCTGCACATTCTTTAGCAACGAGGCTTAACTTACACATTTATCAATGGACTTAGTGCATCAAACGTAATTTTTGAACTCAAAATGTTTCCTGAACACGAAATATTTCAACTTCATCGCTACTAGATGTATAATTACTAGACGAGAAGCTGAAATCGCAATTGTTTCTATTTCTGTTTCTTGGACGTTTTCCCATTTTACCCTTTCCTGACATTTTCATTTTTCCTCCTCCCATCTTATTCGTTTTCTTTCCCATTTTCCCCTTTGTTCCCACCTTAGATGTCCCTTTCGACATTGGGGATTTGTTTTTCTTTGATGTTGGAGATTTACTTTTCTTCGAAGTTGGAGATTTATTTTTCTTCGATGTTGGAGACTTGTTTTTCTTCGATGTTGGAGATTGATTTTTCTTCGTCTTTTGAGACTTATTTTTCTTATCTGCTCCATCTTTTTCTGACTTGCGTTTCTTTTCTTTTTCTCCGGGCTTTTCATTTCCGCCTCCGCCCAGTCCCCCCAGTTCGTCGAGAAATTGCATATTCTCATATATTGGGTCATTTTCACATATCGGGTCATTTTGATATATCTGTTGATTTTCATATAATGGTTGTTTTTCATCGTCGGATGAGAAATGGTCACTATCAAAATCGTCGCTGTACTCTTCCTCTTGTGGTTGATGTTGGGCTTCGACTGCTTCTATCCCGCCCTCATTTTTACCGGCATCTTTGTCAAACAGCCAGCCGGGCGCATCCGACTTCGGGTCTCCGTTCTTTCTAGCATTTGCAATCGAAGTTTGAAGATACCTCATGCAAATAACTATAATAAACTTTAGAAATAATATAAATATATTAAAATTTGGCACTCATTACATGAAGTTTTAAACAAATCGTAATAATAATTATATCTGAATATGTATTGAAAATAAACTTCCTAATGATAAAATTCAAATTAAACAAGGCCTAAATACTGACGTGATAATTCTTGGACGAATTCAATCATGCAATACTCAGGTACGTCTTTTTAATTAGTATTGCTTGCGGCATGGTATGATACCACCAATATTTCTAATTGACCGCGAGACGTACCTGCAGTCCAAACACATAAATTGCCACTGTTCCAATATTTTTTAGCTTCTTGCTGAAGTATTCAATCAGTTGATCTCGGCATCCCACTTGATATATCGTCAAATCGGCTGGGAAACGGTAATTGAAGTGAAGATCGCTGTCTGTCACGTGATGATGTATACACGCACGCGAAGCATTCGTTCGACAGCAGCTAAATGGCACGTCGTCGATCAGAAACTCACCCGTTTTCATCTTACTGTGCAAACGAATTAAACAAAGCAAAAAAATAATTATCACCACCATCACATTTCCGGTGTGCCATTCACACTTGACAACTGACCAACCAGAACGTGATTATTTTATAGACAGGAATACGCGCATGTCTCACACGCGCCTTAGCAACAGTATACAAGGGGCTCGGCGTAGCGCACGCAACGCTTTCCAATTACATACACAAGAGTCCTACTACATTTCATTTATTTATTCGACCAACATTTACAATTACAATCAAAATGTGAAAAAATTGAAATGCAATTCCATATTAATGGCGGATATAATTTAATTTATTTTTTATTATCTTTATTATTATTATTATTATTATTAAATATCAATTAAAACTTTGTATCTCTGGATAAAGCAGAAAACAAAAGGACTTACGTTTTAAGCTTACGACTATCACTGTAGTCTTGTTCACAATGACACACGATGGAAATTGCATCAGTCGATTATTATTATTATTATTATTATTATTATTATTATTATTATTATTATTATTATTTACCTATTATCGTACCTTTTTATCTCTTTGTCCTCTGTGTTGAGATACATATTGTGAATCCATTGCAAGTTGAACCAATCTTCGAAGCCATTATTCCCACAACATTCAAATTTCTGTTGAAGCTCATCGATTTCGACTTTGTATGTCATGTTATCCTGAAAATAATAAAATCATAATACACACATAATCGATCATATTAGTATCATAACTATTTTAAATTTACGTTTGTTACTATTGCAATGCACATTGACCAAGCAAGTTGGTCACTGCAAACTGCAATGTTTCAGGTAAAAAAAAATCTGGAATTTATTTTCTGTCCTATCATTTTGTTAATGCTGGATTAAGATTAGTTAAAAACAATATTTTGTCTCCTAACGTATTTAATCAAAAATAGGGGAACCATCAACGTGTAATTATTGTTTAAGCCATGTTTATTTTTGTTTCTATAATTTTTTAGTTCATATTTTGCAAAATGAATGCGCTTTTTTTAATCTAGTGGTAGGTTTCAAGATAATAAAACACTCCGAATTGTCAATGAACCTCAGACTACTGACCAATCAGAGATAGGACTGTAATACGCACATGCCCCATAACCACGTATCTTTTGTGGAATGTTAACAATATCAAAGGGGCGGAGCTTAGCATAAAGGAGGTCAGCTACCAGGATGACACTGTTGCAGTGTTTTCCGGGTTGTTTTATTATTGCTGTTGGAAAGTATTTTAAACTGATTTGATTAGAAAATTAAGTTTATTACTATTACCATACTTAGGAGCATAACTC